GTTCACACTGGCATCAGCACTAAAGGTATGTATCGGTCCAGCTGGGACCAGTACAATGTCTGGTATGAGCTTGCAATCCTTGGGTTCAATCCCCTTGTTTTTTACAAGCCCACTGTGACTTTACAAGCCCTCTTCTCCATCTCGACACGGGGAACCCATTGTGGTCCACCACAGCACATCGCCAACCTCTTTTCAGGTATGCTTCCTCCTCCACCACCTCCTTCTTTCGTCCTCCTTACTCCTGTTCGTCTTCCTCCATCACTTCCTCTTCCTCCTCTTCTTCCACCGCTTCCTCTTCTCATTCTTCCTCTTTAGTACCTACTGTTTACACTGGCATCAGCACTAATGGTATGTATCAGTCCAGCTGCGACCAGTACAATGTCTGGTATGAGCTTGCATTCTTTGGTTTCAATCCCCTTGTTTTTTACTCATTTGCTACATTTATCCTATGATAGATCCACAAATCAAATTATGGCACTGTCCAATTGATCCAAACAATGACCACTGAGCTTTTGACCCTCTTTAACAGCAATTAAAACATGTGGTGACAATCCTGCAAATTTACCTCAAAAACAGAAAGAATACCAAGAGAAAGTAAACCGGAATAATTATAACTTCAAAGGACTAAGATAATTGATTACCTACACAATCATAACAATTCTTCCGTATGGCTGACACAACCAATCAAATCTTATTCTAATAACAATTCATCCAAAAGATTAACAACATATCCAGTCTTAATCTTATAGATTTACTTGACAATCATCACAATTCATCTAAAAGGCTGACAGTCAATCCAATTAGATTAGGCCAATATCCTATCGAGGGATCAAAGCATCACTTTTCTTGGAATGAGAAGACCAATTGTAGCCATAATGAACAAGAAATGTCCCTAGTAATATCCCTCAAATTGTAAAAATATATGTACCAGGCACCAATGTAGCTTCCGTTACTAGACTATGAAGTGTGACTTGAAGATACTATTTCTATAAGCAGTAGAAAAAAATGTTGCAACTTCAGATAAGAACTCACCTCAACCAGCCTGAAAATATCCACAAACTAAAACAGATTTAAATTGGTCTACAAGATCTCATATTTCCTGATTCTGTACATGAAAATTTTGGAGAAACTTAAGTTCCATACTTTGGTGCTACTGCCCAAGTAACAGATTGATAATTTGGGGAAGCAATGAAAAACCTTAGAAGCAATTTCTAGTTTCATCTATGCATAAGACAAATGTCAAAGAGCCTTCTATACTGTAAACATGAACAGCACCCCCTATAACAATTACTAGCTTATGCAATTAGGAAAGAATCCTTAACTGGTAGTACAGCAGCACTCAGCTATATGGTAACAAACTATTTTTCCTTTTAGGTTTCACATTCAAATCTTAGAGGATGAGTGGTAAGGTTGCTAGTTTGCGATCTAGGAAATTGCTCCTTTGCGATCTAGGAGCCAAGGATACAAGTCACAAAAAAATTCTCTAAATATAGAGGTAAGGTAAGGCTAAGTATATTGACCCTCACCAGATCCCATAGAGTTCCTTGTGCACCGGGTTTGCCCATAGTTCAAATATTATCAGAACTAAAGTCAATCAAAACAATAGCAAAGATTCTTTTGGTAAAATAAGCCAGACACTAGTATCAATAAATATTGAATTACCAAGCCTAATGGTTCCTTTTCTTTTTGGAACAACCATGAAATAAAGAAAACAATTGAGGCTATCAAATTAATAGGTAACAGCAACTCTGACTTGAACTATAGGACAACATGATGTTGTTCTGCAGAATGTGCTTGCAAAGAGAATTCCAAAAAATTGAGAACTAATATCACACATCAAGAAGAGAAATTCTTTGTAGTATAAGTTAAATCAAACTGAGGTTTTTAAATTTGGGTGTTGGACCCATGCTGGTCCTAGCCCAGACCGGTATGGGTCCAACAATTCCGGCATATCATGTACATACAAACTGAGTTCCAAGAAAACATGAAAAAGGCTGAAAATATAAAAAAATTAGCACCTTGTATAAGCCATGTACTGGTACTGATCATGTACCTGGCATACTGCTCGGTTTACCATGTTCCACGAGTTGATAAGTTATCAAATCAGTAAAGGAACCCTACCAAACGACATGGTTCTCCCTTTCACCAGGACTGATGGTGGACACATACAGGTCTGGCCAGCAACCAATAAGGGTCTGGTATGCAAAATAGCATTCCTTGCTGGGAGGTGTTGCAAACCTTCCTTCAAATCACTCGCCAGATTATCCTTCTGATTTGCATAATTGAAGCTAAGTTATGACGTCAAAAGCATCAACTATTTTACCATAGGTTTCATGCTTTAAAACCATAAAGACTGTAACCATGCAACAACCTATCAGCAATTATCCTTAATAGTTGCATATGTCAACTTCTTGGAAGCAATTTAAGTGTTCCTTGCCATTCACATGCCACTTGACCAAAGACAAGATTGGTACCAAGTGACAAGGCCTAAAAGCTCAGTCTGGTATTGGACTTGACACCTCTCCAGACAACTATGTGGTACAGTATTTTGGGAGGTAGCTAACTATATGCTCTAGTACCAGTCTTTGGTCGGAACAACTAATACCATTAGCATGTATCACCCGACCGGTATGTGAGACTTTGTCATGTACCAGCATCAAGGTAGCAATAAGAAATCTCCAGAAACAAAAAGTGTGCAGGTCACCAAGTATTATCCATACACAATGCATCATACATGATTAGTTATGGCATGCAGCAACAGGAATGATAAAGAGGAAAGCAATACATGACTTGACAAAAATTAAGGAGTAGAAAAAGAAGAGGAGAAAGGATTACTTCTCATAAGAATAAATGAATATATTTTGTTGTATTTAATTATTATTATTATTATTATTATTATGGCAGCCAAAACATAAAAAACATGACTTGGCAACATTAGAATAAAGAGCATCCAGTGAGATAGCATATGGGGAATAAGGAAAAAGTGGTAGAAGTCTCAAATCACCTATCCAACATTCCATTCGAGCACATGGAGATATTTTTATAACGTCAGGCGGGTCAACACCAATATTTAAACATAACACAAGCGCAACGCACCCAGTCTTCAGCTGCACTACAAAACTTATTATTAAACTAATATGCAAATTGAACATCAAAATTCAGTTAAAAACAGAAAGGAATACCAGGACACTTTCATCAGCAATACTTATGTATTAAACTATGGGAACCACAATGTAGGAACAATCTTTTATCTATTATAATATCACCACCAGAATGAAGGAATAATCTGAAAATAAGAAGAAAAGTCACAGACATAATTTTTCTACAGGATCCAGAAGCTAACCAAAGAGAGACTAAAAAAAAAATCAAATTGTTATCTTTACATGCAAAAGTTTGATAAATCAAAAACAAGTGATGGACACACAAGGAGACAATTAGCATCAAAATTAGCAGCCTTGATCTCGATGTAAAATGCATTTGGTTTAAAATGTCTGATGCCCACACATTCCCTCAAGGCCCAAAGCCATGTCCAGGAAGCAAATAAAAAAGAATGCAGAAAAGCATTGCACAATCCCAATGATACTTATATATAAGGAGGAAAAAAAGTGGGTTACCTGTTCATTCAACACAACAATTGTATTAAGTAGTAACAATCAAGAATCCAAATGAAGAAAACTACCATCTATTAAAACTTCAGCAAGAAATATTTTCAAATTTATTAATAATCTCTGCGGCAAGAAATCTCTGTTTAAAAAGTGCACCGTCTGACTACGAGAGGTACCACTATTTGATGGCATGACAAATGTAGTGTCCTTTCAAGAACTAAAATAAACAAATCTTACATTATAGCAGGCAAACCTTATCAGATCCAGAAATTTGCAAAACGCAAGAAAATATAACCTCTTACTTTAATACAAGTTAAAACCAAGGTTTTAAAGACTACTCTTATACCAGGTTCAATAATCCATCGGATAGGTACATCATGATCTACCAAATAGTATACCCACTCATACTATGTGGTATCATTAAATTAAAATAAATAAAAAAATGAGTAGTATATGTACCAGTACAAGCTACATATTTTGATATCAATACTAGGTCACACGGTAAAGTACCAATCAGTATGCATTGGTCCAATCAGTACTAAAAACCTCCATTAAAACTAAAATAGGCACTTTCTAATATACCTTTTCCCCACTAGCAGTTCCATTGTTTGCAACAATGGCATCTCAATCAATTAAATCAGGATGAGTGTCAGTTTTATTTTTTAATATACAACAGCAATATGTGCCAGTTTCCTATAGGATCTACAAATAGGCAAATTACTTGAGGATCTAATCATGATGTGGTATATGAGAAAGCAATCATGCTATTGTCATTATATTGCATATTATCATGGAGTCACCATGTATGTGGAAATTAAAATCATGAAATAGTTTCAAACTGGGCCTCAATGTTAAAAGATCTATCAATTTGGAAAGATAAAAGGCTTCTCATAAAATGCTTCCCCCATCATATTGTGTTAAACAGATTGACTAGATTCATAAGTCTTACCATCCTAACAAGGTCATCATAGCTACCAAAATCCATATCCAAAATGCACTTGTTCTTTTTAATGTCCTAAATAACAAAGATTTGTTCTTCCCATAATTTCAACTTGTATTGCCTCGTAATATTTTTCCCATATTTTTAAATTTTACTAAAGAAAAAATTGTTGAATGCAAGAGCATAGACATAAAGATGTGCTCTCCATAGTTTCCAATTTCAAGAGGTTCAATCTTCAGCATGCTACAGATCTGAACAAGAATGTTGAGTTATTTACTATGACCAAGCGATAGATCTTTGTTATGAGGACATCACTGCAAAGTGAAAAATCAAATAACAGACATTAGCAAACAAGCAAACCCTTTTTGCAACCAAGCGACTCATGGTTTCAATCAAAAATACAAAGTACAAAGAACTTAATCAGTTATCTGCGCATGATGTATGATTGATATTGGCTGATATACTCCCCTTCTATGGCAGAAGTTCAGCAAAATGCAAGTATTCCGATCTCTTCTAACCAATTTCAGTGAAAAATTGAATCCCTCCCCACGAAAAAAAAAAAGAATAATAAAAGGTTTGTGCATTTTTCATTTCTATTTCCAATATTGATTTTGTTCTTCTGGTCCTCCTTTCAAGAAAATCAGTTATCCACCTCGGGATGTATGATTGATACAGGTTGTATGATCCCTTTCAATTGCAGAAAGTCCAGAAAAAAGCAAGTATTCTAAGCTCTTCTGACTAATTTCAGTGAAAAACTAAATCACTCTCCAAGGAAAAAAATGAATAATATGTTTGTGCATTTTTTGTTTCTGTTTCCAAGAATTCCTTTGTTCTTCTGGTCCTCTTTTCAAGGAGTGCTCTTGCTCAACAATAGCACCACCAACGATCAGACAGAACCACAAACATCATTTATTCACCATGGAAGACTACGAAAGCATATGAGTTGAAAGGCAAACCGAAAAGGCATTGGAAAACACATTACCCGGTCCTTGGGCCGCCACTTAGACACCAACCCGTTATCCGAGGGCCCCACTGCGGCGCAATCCTCGAAGCCCTCGTGCCGGAAATCGGACAGCACGACCGTGTGCGGCAAGTACACCATGCTGGTGGCCGCAGCGGACGCCCTTACCGCTAGGATACCCCCGGCCGGGGTAGCCACCTCAGGCTCGCTCCCCTCCGCGGCTGTGGCCCCGTCCCCGTCCTCCCGGCCGGAGAACTCATCCAAATGGTTCGAAACGGACGCCGAAGACCCGGACAACCCGGACGCCATCAGATCTCCCAACGCCATCCGATCAAAGCTCCCGATAACCCAAACCCGGCCCGCCTGGCCGCAACCGTCGCCTCGAAAATGGAATCCCAACCCGAGGACCTACCCGCGGTTCCCTGGCACCGATCGGCGGAGATCGCGGGCGCGGCCTAATCGACGAAGCCGCTGGCCCAGCGGCGCATGGAAATCCGCCGAAGGAAGGAGGAGCAATCCAGCTCTGTGGTGAGGCGGGTGTGGGAGGATGGGAATAGAAACCCTAGGTTTTTCTCGAAAGGGGGGTGGTGTGGAGGCGGAGGGAAATGGCGAGAGGAAAGAGCCGAGCGAACGGAAGAATAAAAAAATTGATATAATAATAAAAAAGACACACTCGACCAAATTAAAAGAACAGTAGTTACTCTCTTCTTTTCGCCCTACTAATTGTTATAATATTAGTAGTAATAATAATTAAAACCCGTTCTTATAGTGCATTACAGGAGAGAGAAATAAATTAAAAACTAAGAAGAAAAAAAAAAGGCTATAAAATTAAATTTCGGAGCCGCCCTTCTCGTTCTGCGCCCTTTTTGCCTTTTAGCTGTAATCCCGATATTCCCATAATGCCCAAAAGCATCTCAGCCGTCCAAACATGAAACGCAAGTCACGCGAGCGGGTCGGCAGGCGTCTGATGAGGGATGGAGGGTTTGGGACTTTGCTTCCTTTTTCGAGGAGAAGGAAGGCGAGGTGGGTGGACAGAGAAGAGGACGACGACGGAGACGATGATGGATTCACTCCATGGAGGATAGTTGGGAAAGGACTCTTCCTTCGTCCCCATGGGGAAGAAGGGGCGAGGGAGGGAAGAGCATACACAGCTCAGCAGCGTGACAGCTTGCCAGCTCAGCAAGTAGCATGCGTCCAATGAGGAATAACTGGAATGTGGCAGTGAGTTATAGGATTTGGCCCCTCGACTTGCACTTTAATCACCAACGTGCCCTTTCCCTCCCCCAACCGCCGCTTCTCCGCCGTCTGAGCGGAAGTGAAGCCCTCGTGGGTTGCACCCAACGAGATGTCATGTCTTCTGCCATTAATGGAGGAGGAGAGCTTTGTGAGAAAGCTCGGTTTGCGATTTCAGATAATGAGATAAGGACGTATCTAGAAACTGCATGTCTGAGTTAATTGTGTAATGAGATTGTAGAATAGAATCACATGAACACGAGCTTGGAGATCACCAAGAATCAAGTTTGGTCGCAAATAGTATCGCCAACAGGGGGTGGGTGTGGGGGGGCAAAGCTCGACGACGTGCATGCCGTGAGAACGTGTTTCTCGTTGAAGTGTCGGTGAATGGAGCCGGGTGGGTATCTCTTGGTGAGGAATGGGGACTAAAGGGTAAAAGACGCCATTGGGCACATCGTATACGGTCCTCCATCTCAAACATCCATTGATCACAACAGACTCAGCCTCTCTCGTGAGAGCTCCGTCGATCGATGATGTCCCATCTCATCCGGTGCTCAAGTTTGTTTCTATGGGGACACAGCACAACGTTAATGAATCACATCACACACCACTACTTTGTTTCAAGCAAATTGAGGAATAGGATGATGCGTCGTATCTGTATGAGTCAGAAGAAAGAAAGGCATCAAGGAAACTTTATGTAATTATTTACACGAGAGACACGAGGGAATCATGCAGATTCATCATGTACGCTTGCATGGCATTGTCTTCCCTTATAACGAGTATAAATTGCTTAAAGCCACGTTAATTTGGATGGTCTAATTATTTTACTTAACACAGATACTTAAAGTATTAATTAGTGATAATATACTATACCAATTTGTTAAAGATTAAAATTTTAAAATCTCATTAGATATAATTGATTAAAAGTATCAATTTATTTAGTTGATAAAAATTTTAACAATTTTTCGTAAGATCCTTCGTCACTTATCTTCATAAAAACAAACTTTACCTTGATGGCCCTATCATATAAGAAAAAGTAGGTACAAAGTTATATTTGCTGCTATCAGCAATAACTATAGTTGGGTGTACTCCGATAACTTGATCTGTATTGACTGATAAGAAAATATTTTGGAAAACTTTAGAAAACAAAATTAACGAGCTAAACAAATATTAACATTATCTTTTTTACCAAAGTGGGAAATTAAACGTGGTTTCCACAATTAGATGTTATATTTTCTACAAGGAGAACTCTATGAAGCCTAAAAAAGACAAGTAGATTTGATGGATGGGACAGAATTGGTGGTTTGGGCTGCAGCCGAAAAGAAAGTCTTGTGACCAGTTTTGTTGGCTGTATTCTCTCTTTTTTTGCTTTCACGTTCTTGCAATCAAATAATAAAAGGGCCCACCAAACATACATGAAGAGAAGTCACAAACATTGAACCCCAACGAATTTGCTTTGGAAGACGAAACGTAGATTTGGGCATCGGCCAATTGGCCTGCCATGGTGATGATGATCTTGGTCGTTCTTCCCCAAACAATATGGAAATTATGTGACTACAAGAGCTAGCGAGTGGAACCAACAAGCTTACGTAAATAGTATATACCTAAACTATATGACCTATAAGGACATTATTTTTATTTCCCACGTCGTTAAATGGCAGAGTTGGATCGGAGTTTCACAGTGCAAACTATATAGTCGATGGAGTTAATTAGAAATGGTTAGATTATGTAATTTAACAGTGCAAACGAGGTGGTGGAGTAGATTAGAAACGGTTAGATTAAGTAATTTAAATTATTAAGAGATTTGAGAGAGTTTTAGATGAAGATAAAGTTTGCAATGATTTATGACTTTTAGATTGAGATTAGATTTGTAATTTATGTCAAGTATAATGATCTTGCATAACTTTTGATGTGATAATAAATAATATATTTTAAACATCATGAAACATCATAAATCTATACAAGAAAAAGTTAGATCCTTTGTATTCAAATCAAATAGTTAAGTTAGGAATTAATTTTTTTTCTTACTTATCATTGTAATTTAGAAAATCTTAATATATTTCTTTGTTTGTTATTACGAGTTAGGAAATAACTATTTAGCATTCCAAATACGGTGATATTATATTTATTAGTATATTAAATAAAAATAATTCATATTAAATAAATATAAAAATAAAAATAAATTTCCTTTAATGGAGGCTCAACTCCTCCTACTTAAGGGGAGAGATTTCTTTCATTTGTTTTTCATTTGTTTCTCTACCTTTTTTGAAACTAAAAGTTTTAGTTTTTATTTTAATTCTTTAAATATTGAAAGTTTTATAGTTTAAAAATATTTATCAATTTTTTAAATATCAAAATTTTTTATTGTTATATTAAAATATATCAACTGAAGTTTTTATAATGTTCTTTGACCTCCTGTTTAAGGTTTTTATTTTTAGATTTAAATATATTAAAAATTTACATATTTTATATATTAAATATATGAAGTTTCCTAGCATTACAGCTTATCTTTAATCTTATCTGGATTAAAATTTTTGTTAGATCAAAATATGTCATCTAAAATTTTTGATATTCTTTGATCTGAAATTTAAAATATGTTATTATGAATGATTTAAAATTTATTTGCCTAAAATATGTTGAGATTATATATGTTGAAAGTATGATTTCTAATTCTTATTGAATTTAGAAGATTATTTATTTGTATTAAAGCTTATCCCATAATCTTATCTTTTAATATGCTATTATGTTTTTTCATTTATATAATTGTCAGTGAATATATGTTGTGGTATGAAATTAGATTGAAATTGCTCACGAACCAGGCCCAACCCATAGGTCAGGCCACAACCCACTAGCTAGGCCCAGTCAGCAGATCAGACCCAGCTTATAGGCCAGGCCCAACCCACGGGTCAAGCCCTAGCCCGTAGGTTAACCTAGCCCAACCATCATGGGCAATCACATGCGACGCACGTGACCAGTCCATGGGCAAGGGCTGGGCTAGTCTGGTGTGATGCATGCCTAGTTATGTGTAATGCACGCGACCAGTATATGGGCTGGCTAGTCTAACCCGAATTATTGTTGGATTTGAGCCCAAATATTGATTGAACTAAACTATGCTTGATTAGTCTACATCGATTCAGGGTGATTCTGAATTGATTGACTTATTCAAGTCAGTTTAACCTAAATTGAACATAATCTAGTTCAAATTATACTAGTCTAGGGTGGTTTCAGACCAGCTAAATGAGGATTAGAGATCAGTTCAGTTAGGTTCTAGTAAATCAAGTTTAATTGGATCGATTTAACTATGGTTCAAGTTAATTGAGGGCTAATTTGTATTATTTGATATTGATGATATTTGAAAAAGATATTTTAAATGTGTTATTTCATCTTGATATATGTTGAATCTCGGATTTTAATGATGAAACCAATTGGTAAGTGTTTATGATTTGATCTACGTTTGAGTGACGCAGGATGCTTCGATCAGGGAGAGACAATTAAAGTAGGAAGAATCATGTTGGGCTAGAGGAAAACATGTTAGAAGATTGGACGACGCATCGAAGGATCGGTCGACGTATCGATAGAAGGCTTCGGGCCATGGATTCGAGCATCGGGCCAAGAAGAGTGGACATTGCGCTAAGAATATCAAAACTGCGGAGGTCAACTGGCCGATTGGGCAATAGGCTGTAAGAGAGGATGATGCGCAGAAGAATTGGATGAAGCGTTGATGGACCAATGACATGTCGGATGACATGATTCATGCTTAGTAATAATTGTCTAAATCGAAGTGTGTTTTATGTATGCAGGATTAACTACAATAGCACGACATAAAGCAAAATGAAGTCTCAGAGTCAAGAACGTGATTTCGTTGGGAGTTTGAGAGTTTGTCATAAGTCCGGACATTCGTCGGAAATCCGAACATTCGTCGGAAGTCCGGACGTTTGTTAGAAGTTCTACCGGAACCAACCGAGAAGTCTAGGAGCTTGCCAAAGAAGCTCATCGAAACTCGCCAAGAAGATCATCGTGAAGTCCAAGAGCTTACCGGGAGTCCGTCGGAACATTGCTGGGAGTTCATCGGAAGTTCACCGGAAGTGTTAGGATCGGAGCGGCACTAAGAGGGGGGGGGGTGAATTAGTGCAACTGATTAAAACTTCGGTTTTGGAAAAATCTTTTGTACGATAAAAAACCGAACTCGGAAGTGCTTATCTTGAAAGCGTGTTCGTAAATTTGTGCAGCAAAAGTAATGAGGAAGTAAAGCACATATGAAGGTTTGCAGTAAGGTAAATAGCAATAAGTAAATACAAGCCAGAGAACACACCAATTTAAAGTGGTTCGGTCAAAATGACCTACATCCACTTGTGAAGCCTTCTTCGAAGAGGCTCCCAACTTCCACTAGCAAATCACTTTGAAGGGGA